TAATAGTCCCAGCATTGATCATATTATACAACGCTTGTTTTTTTCTAATGGTTCCAGCATTATTAGCATCATAGATTGCTTGTTTTTTTCTAATGGCACCAGCATTGACCACATTATACAACGCTTGTTTTTTTTTAATGGTCCCAGCATTATTAGCATCATAGATTGCTTGCTTTTTTCTAATGGCACCAGCATTGACCACATTATACAATGCTTGTTTTTTTTTTAATGGTCCTAGCATTATTAGCATCATAGATTGCTTGTTTTTTTTCTAATAGTCCCAGCATTGATCATATTATACAACGCTTGTTTTTTTCTAATGGTCCCAGCATTATTAGCATCATAGATTGCTTGCTTTTTTCTAATGGCACCAGCATTGACCACATTATACAACTTTCGTTTTTTTCTAATGGTCCCAGCATTATTAGCATCATAGATTGCTTGCTTTTTTCTAATAGTTCCAGCATTTTTCTGATAATACAATGCCTTTTTTGTTTTAATTGTTCCAGCTTTTTGAATATTGTGTTGACGTCGATGTCTTTTCATAGTGTCACATGTTTGAAATAAAATTTCTACAGTCGTTATATTGTTGTCTGAATTGTTTGTCGCACATCCACTATTCTCATCAACAGGTAGCAGAGAAGAGTCAAAGGAATGGTCTGAGGAAACGTCTGTCAGTGACTTTTCAGGAGCATCAAACATCTTGAAATATTTCCCTTGATTTGAGTTGCTTGCCACATTTTCGGCATACTCTCCAGAAAGGCACTGTTGCGAAGCAGCAAATGAACAGTCTGAAAGGGAGTATGTGTTTGATACCAAGTAATCATGAATTTGTGATGTTGGAGGTGTATCATAAATCAATGGATCCAATAGCACATCAGTTTTCACAAAACACAGTGTACATGCATCTGACCGACATTCTACATTTTCTGTGCCAGACCAGGTTACAACCGAATCACAGTATTTGAAGAACTCATTTCCAGATAAACAGTATGAAACATAATGACCAGACTGAATAGTCGATCCTTCGTGAGATACAACACCAAGAAGTTTATATTTGTTTCCTTCTAATTCGAGATTAGAAAAATACCGCAGCGTATTAACATTTTTTTTATGCTCATGATCAACTCTGCAAATTGCAATAAATAAAACAGAAGGCAATGTTCTATATGAATAATTAACACATTTGAGAGAATTGCATTTGTGACATATTTCTTCTTGATGATTTAAAATGTCTTGGAAATTTTCTCCCTGATTGAAATTGAAAATGTTAAATGTCATTGCACTGAGGATACGAGAATATTCACAACAGCAACACCGTTCAAAAATGGATGCTGAGAAAAGGCACATAGAACGGAGGGTATTAGCAACTTCATTATGGTACCTGATTTGGTCATCTGTAATCTTAGATAAAATCATGCTCAGAAATTCAGCAGCATCAAACATTTCAAATGGCCTAGCATGGAAATCGTGAACAAACAGAGAAAATTCATATGCTGAAATACGTCTTGTTGCTTTAGCTGGTGAATATAGCATTCTGCGTCTTAGAGATATCAGCTTGCAGAAATTACATGCTTGTGTTATTGAGCACAAGCGAAAATCATGTTGTACATGAAGTGGAAGCCGAACCAATATTCGTAACACACTGTTAACCCAGCAAATATTCTTTGTATTGGTAAGACCTCGGCCACCATATTTCAGAACATGTTGAACACTATTGGAAAGGTTATAATGCTTCTTTCTTGGCATATTTATGTTGTTTACAGCAGAACTGTAACAAAAAAGCAAAAAGATTAGTGATATGCTGGCCACTTAAACTAATCAAATCCATGCTTCCGAAAACAAATAACTAACTAATCCCATACAGCCATACCAGACTTGGAATGGTACCTTACCGGTAACCAGACAAGAGGCTGTGGTTCGCAATATGGTTAAGCCGTTCTATAGGCCTTCCTCTCCATCGGGATAATTATGTAAATCTTATCCTTTTTGTAAAGTCTGAAACAGCGAAAAATTAGAAAGGCATAGCAGCTGTGCAGACATGCTGGCTCATTACAAAAACTTAATTTCAATGCAGGCACACACTCTAAACAAATTAATGCAACTAGTACAGTAATACTGTAACGGACTACGGTATCGGTAAGACGGTACGTAAACCTGTAAACGGTACCGGTACGTGCCGTATAGGCCACAGGGACTGTCATAGCTTTCCCAGCTATCGTACCGGTACCGGTATCACTTTCGCTTAACACGGAACCACAGTCTACAAATACTGAAATATATGGAAAGTGAACATTGATTGATTGATTGAACACCGAGCGAAACAGTACCGGTAGTTTAACTTAACCTCAAAAACCTTTCGAGTTTATTGAGAAATAATTTGAAATACCAACTGATAACAGTAAATACCGCAGTCAACAAATATATGGTCACCAAGCGAAGCTGTAGTAATAGTCAACTAGCTAAGAAGTTATCGCAAACCGTTGCATTGCTGCATTGCGGGTACCGGTAACCCCAAACACCTCGATTCCCCATAAACAACTCTTAGCGGAGCAAGAATTACGATCGCTTCTCAGTTGATATGCCTTCGCGCAATCGCCACAAGGTGTCACTATTTTTTATTCTGATCACTTCTTTGAACACAAAAAACGAATCTCTCGAAGTCCACAGGAAATTTTAAAATAAATAAAAGTAATAGCCTTCTGGAGAAAAATTTTATCTTCAACCACTGAAAAGCAAACTTCAAAGCAATTGGTCCAGTATTCGAAGAGAAAAGCGACTTTTTAAAAACGTGTCAAAGAACAAGAACAACAACAACATAATATTGAAACGATCGTTATGTCCACTTCGTGTCCAATAAAGCAAAAACCTGTGCCTGGAGCGGCGGCGGTCCGCCATCTGTTTCCGACGAATTCTCGTGGCAGTCTCATGTAATCTCTCATGGATGGTGTTGACTGCTGCCAATCTCAACAATAATAACTCTAAAACTAGAATTTCATAAAATTCCTTATGATACACCGTACATACCCACATCTACAACACATCCTCGTTTATTTGAGCATTCATAATTGTTTTGTTATATTTTATTTCAGCCGGAAACCGCCACTGATCGAAACCGCGGAAATGACCAAAGAAGCGTACAAGTACGAGCTTATACGCTGTAATTATGTTTTTTAGTGGGAATATTTTTAAGCAAGACCACGCGCACTCACTCAGAAATTGATTGTTTTCTGAGCTAAATAACAGGCGACTACGAAAGTATCAAGGCATACTGAGGCTACAACGAATTACAGTGTAGAACTGTGCCTTAGTAAATACCGATGGACGTGATTAAATTGAAAAAAAAAAATTTCCACGCCTTGAATCTTTTGCCAAATTATTTATATGTATGTCAATCCACCCAATACTTTCCCGGCTGTGATTAAAAGTTATGGTTCTGCTAATATTATTGCTGTTCATAATCTTATCTTATAAATCGTGACAAGAAACAATCTTAGAAAGGGGTGGGGAAGTGGATTGATTTGAACGTATATTCCAAGCCAAAAGCTGCTTGGGGACGAGTGTGACTTTGGGCAGGAAAGAAGAATTTAACATTTTATGGTTGTATCATGGTCGGTGTGGTAATTTTTAATATTCCCGGAGTCAGTGTTTAATCTCTCAAAAAATTCGACATAAATTTTTTTACGTAAACCAAATCAAAGCCTTATTCAACTCTACATATTCAACAGAAGGCTTGTAAGTTGTGACGTGAGCTGGAGTCGAAATCAACTTTTCTTTGGCAAATTTTCGTTGTGAACACAAAAACCAGGGATATGTCGGTTTATTTAAGAAAATAAATATGTAGAGAAAACCATTACAATTGATACGTTTTTATTTTCAGCTTACCAGATGGTAACCATCGCGGCTTTTGCCTCATCGTTCTCAACAATGACGAATATTGTCCATTCGTCGGTGAGTTTCATCTAATTCAGCGGTCTATTTCCCCATTGCCTTTTTATTGGACACGAAACCGACCAATGGATCATTTTGCAACTTTTTTTGTTTCATTACCTGATGGCTTAACCCGCTAGAGGGCTATTAATTTCGTTTTTTGTTCAAATTTCCCTAGTGACGCGATATTTCACTCAAAATCTTGCCGTTTTATTTCAACTCACGGGAACACTTAATTAAATATGGGAACATTTAATTCCGTCACGCCAGTCTATCAAACTCAGCCACCAGCCAAAGCTTTACCGTTCCGATGTGTTATTTTGGTGTTCATATATTTCAGCACTGCTACCTTGTCTTATCACTTTCTTTCAAGATAGTTTGCTAGGTTTCTTGAACATACCAGGTGCCTAAATTTATTACCGTTAATGCAGATGTTCTCCGAAATTACTTTAGCGGCGCAAATTACGAGGTAGATGTGGGATATAACCTACAAGGCGAGGATATTGAGAAGATATCGAAACAAGACTTCGCGTCACACGTCTGTTTTGTGTGTTTTATTCTCGACAAAGGTTCGTACCACTGTCTGTCAATTGCTTATTTGTCATCACAACAACAAGTGTTGTCTGATTCGTCGTTGTTGTGAAAGAATGATTTCTCTTCAACACTAACGGACCGCATGATCTTAAAATTCAAGTAAATAAAAAAGGCTGAACCAACTATACGGCACTTCTATTTCCCAAATTTTCTCTGAATGCTTTGAGAACCGATATTTCACCTACAATTCAACTGTTTAATTCATAAGAACACCTTTCTTTTTCATAAAATGTGGCAACACCTTATTTTATCGGCCTTTCCCGCCGATCTTTCCAAAAAACTTGGTGCTTAGCTAGACAGCTAAGGCCTTAATAGTACCAAACAGCGTTCTTCGTGTAGATATATTTTAACACTGCTATTTTTTTATTTTTAATAAAATTTAAATAATTGTCATCTAAGCATGATATTACAAACATTTAGAAAAAGTGAACGGTGACATTCAGATGCTACAATATGTTATCGATTCATTCACGCCTGCCAAAGTTCCTTCTCTTGATGGAAAACCAAAGATGTTCTTCTTTCAGGTAAATGCGTGTTGAAAATAAATTACCTATTATGATATTTTAGCCAATATTCTGTTTCTACAAATTAGTTTTCACCAGACCCTCACTTTTACCACCTGCTACGCACTTATTCGCCACATGCTATGCGAAAACCGGAAGGGTTTTGACTAGGTAAAGTATTGTATAAGCGGTAAGGTGACTTGTGCGTCGCTTTGGCCTTCGTGTTCGTATATTTGAGCATCGTTTCCTTGTTATCTACTTTTCACATATTCGTATGTGTCTGGTTTTAAAGTACGCCAGCCTACAGTTGTTTGCTTCAATTTCTAATATTTGATTCGTATTGACCCTGCGTACAACTTTTATGATTCACTTCATTATTTTTTAGCTTTCAATCATATACAAAAAGCTTCCGAATTACCGCTGCTTGAAACCTGCAATGGTTCCCTGCGGCTTCCTTCCCCCAGATAAAACTGTCAACCTACTTCTTTCTCGTAATTTGTGTCTTGCGTACTATTGATCTTTACTGGTTGGAAAACTTGTCTTATGTTATTGCAGAACGACATTGATATCTTGCAACCATCGAACTATTCAGAAGATGAGCCGCCTTCAATTCTACTTGTATATCCCGATGCATTCGTTCTACGATCGACCCTCAGAGATGTCGTGGAAAGATTCTGCCACATATTAGAAATGAATCTATGGTATTTTGTTACTGTATTAAACTAATTACATATGATATATGGGTACACATTCTTTTTATACTGGAGTTCAATTTTAAACTATAAATGACGTATGTGTCGTGAAAAAAAGACAAAACGTACGAGCGAAAAATTATCAAAACATGGCGAAATATTTAAAACATTTAGGAGTATCAAATGGGAACAATTGGAACATGTGTTTTTTATTCCCACTTTTGCTCTGAATAATACAAGCAACCAGCCACTGTCTTGCACCAGTCGACTGCAGTTGAAGCCACTGCGTCACCCAATTTTTTCATTTATTTTTTGTTTGGCTGTGGTATATTTGAATTTGAAAGTCTGTTACTTGAATGTATGTCGCCAATGTTAGTACAAATTAATTCCAATACTGTTTTCTGTAGCGGCTCTCTCAGCTTCATACTGGCTACGTTAACAAGGGATACAGTGAAATTTTTCTACAAAAAAGAATCCTTCGAAACTATATCCAACTTAGCGAAAGAGGTGGGGTTTCTTTGAAATTTCTTTCAAAATCAGGTCAAATATAATGAAGTTTTGATATTTTATGTTTCCCGGCTTATGTTATAGAATTGTAAGCATTAATACTCAATGTCCAATCATAGTGAATTGAACAATAAAAATGAGGCATTCTCGAACTTGAAATAAGTTTCAACCATCAAAGTAGTCAGATTTCCTCCAAATCAAGTAGCTTATGTAAAATTAGAATAATGAATTTTAATAAAAAAAAAAATTGATAACAACTGTTTCAATTAAGTTTTGTATATATACATATGCTTTTTCTAAACTAAAATTCAAAAAAGCGTGGATGTGTACAATCTGTAGTCTTGAATCAGTCAATTTATTTTCCAGGTGTATTTTAAAAGTCCAATTTTGGAGTCTGAAAAAAACTCAGAAGCTACAATCGCATCCAACTTGCTCAACGACCAAGCCGTAACGTATGGTATGTGAGTAGTCACATCTTAATATCCATCTTCACCCAATATTTTTATACGTTTAAAAGTCGAACAAGGCTCTGCACAGGCGGCGGGTTTCTGCACAAGCGGCGGGACAAGATATTATATTTTGGAAAGACTGGAATCTTCTCGTTTCAGCTTTGCCGACTCCATTCTTTAAATTCTGTGTGAGGTTTCGAACTCAAAACCTTATCAAATAACCCGATATGCAACTACGTTTTGTCTAATGCTCTAACACTGAGATGAACAAACTACGGCTCGCGGTCCGTTGGGTATTTCAATCTGGCCCGCATGATGCTGCCACAACCAAACTAAAACCAAATTTTATTGTTTCAGCTAATATAGCTCAAGGAAATTGTTGAATTTGCGATTAAATCTAGTTCAGGCACAAGGCTTATTGTTTTCCACTTTTGCTTTTGTAAATATTGATCATAAAATGTAAATTTCACGCCACACTGACATGGCCCGCTAGTCTAGGTGGGCGAAATTTCATGGCCACGGGTCCAAAAACCTTGCCCACTCCTACTCTAACAACTAGTCGAACTTGCACCTAAACTTTGGATATTATATATAAATAAATATACGGTAATATACCAGTGCAACAATATAAATTAATTCGACGTTTCCAAGCAAGACGTGGACGGCGGCGCTAAGATGTGTGCGCTTTATTCGGTATTCTTTTAAACACCAAAAACGATATTCGAATATATGCGCGGGAGTGCATTGAATACCATGCCACATTGCAAATTACCATATCAGCACAAAGCGGATGTGTGAACCCGTTTACACCTCTATTGAGGACTTTCACCTTAATTTTTAATATACATATATAATTAACAAACGTTTTATTGAACTATTATTGTCTTAGGATCAATACCCGAAACAAGTTCTGCAGACAATGAAGACGGCAATGTGGAGAAATAAACTACATCAAAAATATTTGAAATAATAACTTGGAAGATATTTTATAAAAATTATGTTAATTATATGTATCCTGAAAAATCGTGATTTTTTAATATGTGTATGGTTTCGATTGAATACGGAATTTCATTATATCAATGCAATACTTTTATATACGTTGTAGGTAAAAGTTTCAGAAAATACTTGCGCTTTGCTTCTTTCTAATGAGAAGTGACCCTCAAACCTATGGCTCTCGGCCCAGAGTTAAATATCCTGAGATTTAGTTTGGCCCGGATAATTATAAGAGAATCATGCGTATCTCTTGGCCAAATGATTTCTTTCAACACGGCTTTCTTTTCTTCAATCAAACAGCGCTGCAAAACATATCCTACTCAGTCTGTTATGCCGCTTGGTGACGCACTTGTTGCTTCAGTTTTGATAAGTAGAAACAAATATATAATGGATTAGTAGAAATAATTAGGATTAATAAAAAGACCCAGTCTATCTTAAATCCGAGGCACCTCAAATCCGAGGAATAAACTTTAATTATTTTGAATCTCGTGTCAATCATTTTAAAATGGGGACTCGAGGTCTTGTTGTGAGCAAGCTTGCATGGGATGATCTGTAGTCAGTCATATTGGCCTAAAGAGGCTAGATACCTAGAATTCAATTCAGCATTCTAAATATTGGCAACACCCTTATTCTCAATCAGGTATTACTCGTACAAATCTTGTTCGAATCAATGGTTCAAAGAAAAACTGATACATTCCACTTAGATGGGGAAAAATTTCCGCCAATGGATGATGGTCTAGCTCAGAAATAGCGAAGCTTTTTAATGCAGGACCACGAATTACATTTTATTTTGGAAAATGAGACTGAGTCGTAGGTATTTATTCAATGATAAACTCGTTTTCGCATCGTTTCCCCAAATCTTATAATCCCGAGTTTGGCCATGTGTAGTTTTGAGCTTCAAACTCATCAGTACAGAGGCGATATCCGGTACTCAATTTTGTGAAATTCGTGTACGAAAACCATTTCCTGTGCATCAACAGCATAACCAAACAGTAATTAATTTCTGTCAAGACATATTACATAAGATGGTAAATCTGAACAAATTCTGCAAACCCCAAAACAATATCAAAACATGTTTCCGTACGTATAATCAATCATTAATGGCTCTCGAGTATCGCGCAATTTGAAACAAGTCACTCATTTGGTCTAATCATCCGATTTCTCTTGCTTGAAATTTTTAGTATTGAAAATATTGCTTTACGAGAAATCCAACGTTCAATCATAAGCAAATCTAGAACTCTGCAGAAATAGCATTTCCAGCACAAAAAAGTATATTATAGTACGATTCGATTTTTGCTGCTTGAACTTCTTATTGGAAAATATAGCTTTACGCGTAATCACTAAGTATTGTATGAATAAATTCAGAGATCAATTATAACCCCAACCAGGGCTGCCACTCTATATGTTTTATGTCTAGATCTAGATGTTTTTCTCAAGAATCTAGATGTAAAATTTGGAGCCTAGATGTTAGCTATAAAATCTAGATATATTTTTTCAAGGTTCTAAATATTATTCAGTGGGAAATAAATAAAGAAATGTGTGTAATACTGTAATAGGTGAATGAATAATATTTTATTATTTAGAAGTATTGATGTAAGATTGATAAAACAGTATATATTTACGATAAAACTCATTCATATTGTATACGTCCACCGTTACCATACAGCCATATGTACTTAAAATATTTGAATAACGAATTAAACATGTTTAAAACATGTGACGTTTTATTTAACGTCAAGTAGAAAAGACGACGTTGGTCCGATGATATTCTTTTGTAAGTTCTGCAGGTGGGAATTGAATTCTAGGTTATGATGTTAGTTTCTTCGACATCTAATATTACTGTATCGTAGAAGCTTGACGGGGTGTGACCTTATGCACCCTGCTTGCTACACAAAGACGAAGGGCGCTGAACCGTGATAATAATTTCCAGTCTAAACGCTCTAGTCTAGTCTATCCCAATACAGCAAATATGTCTATGTTCGGTCCAGACAATTCTCTCCAAATTATCCCGTCTTATAACTGAGATAAGCAAGCTGAAGTCCACAAGCCCACAATACGCAACTTTAAGGTTGTTTCGTGTAAATCCTCTATGCCTCTGAACTTTAGCTCTGACGGTGGCGCATGGCCTCATCAAAGATACGGAATAGTTTGTTAATTGATTGAGATATCATCTATTTTTGTGCTACATCAAACATTGTACGGGTAAAATGAAACAAAAAATAGTTAGAACAACAGACATTTCAATTGATGCAATTAACAGGGGTACTTTACAGAATTTCATGCTTTGAAAGGTACTCCCGTGGTGTGTGTACCAGGTTAGGGTTATGGCATAATTTTATTCCGATTTTCTTTATTTTATTTACGAGTTCGGAGACTGTCTGTGTTAGCCAAGTGTATATATATCCCTGTCCATAGATTTCAGTCCGTTTACACAACTCAATGTAGAGTAGGCGAACGAAATTAGTTGCCGCAATATTAGTACATACATTTCCGGAGCGCCCTCTGAAGTGAATATAATATTGAACATTGTACATCAGCACTCAGCAGTAATGGAAAATGACAGATATGAGCATTAAGATAGCTGCTTGTTTGAATAGTTTATAATTTTTAGGGCGAATTGTTGGCACCATATTCTCCAGGGATAGGCAAGGATTTTGAACCAGGGGCCAAAAATTTTGCCCATCTATACTGGCGGGCCATGTAAGTGTGACGTAAAAAAATAAGTTTCATTAATAATATTTACAGTGTTACAAAAGCAAACGTGGAAAAAAAAAGCCTCATGCCGAAACTAAATTTAATCGCAGTTCCAACAAATTCGCTGAAAACATCAAAATTCAGTTTGGTTGTAGAAGCATCAGGCGGACCAGATTTAATTCCCAACGGGCCGGAATTGGCCTGCAAATCGTAGTTTGCCTATGTCAATTCTATACCTTCCTACTCGTCAATTTGATACTTCATAAGCATACTGCGCAATTTTTTGGAAGACCAGGCCGAATGAATCGCGAACGTGATTTTCTATTAGATACATCTTCTACATAGCGATTATACATGGGCTTACTTGAAAAGGCCGAAAAAAATTATGCAATTCAGGGTCTATTGTACTGAGAAGATTGGGAACCAGTATTAACATATTCCAAAATTTCTGGGAGCGTTTACATATAATTCATGTTTGAGCAATAGCAGGATTGATAAAATCCCCGATACCCTGTATTAAATGTGTTTTCATAGCATTTTACAATGCTGGATGTATAAATGTAAAAAATGTGAACGTATGTTTTTTGTAAAGAGATTCTGCCTTCTGCTATCTGTAACTTGTTTACAATAGGTTTGGTGTTGCGACATCTGCACTGTTTCCTTGCGCCTATTCATACGGGCATTGCTCCAGCCTTTTCCTGCTTATCGCGATGAAAAATAAGTTTCGGAAAACGTCATATTTTGATCATCTTAATAAAAAAATGTGATATATGGTAACTCAGTTGGATGACGTAATGTGTGCTGCTTTTGAATCTCTACAATAAGTTGTTAGTGTGTTATAGAGCGATGGTTTAAATATATTTGCGAAACAATTTATATTTTTTAGCTTCAAAAGCTGAATCGAACACAAACTTGAAGAAAAAAATAGTTGATTCGCACTCCGACTCAAGACTCCGGGTACAGAATAAAAATAGATTCCAGTTTCGTGTGGCTTAATGCTCTGGAGGAGTGTTACCCAACAATTTCATATGATTATGAAATTTATAAAATCAATTTTGTTTTTGTCAATTGTATATATTTCCTTTAAATTTATTTGTATATCACTAAATTATTTTCCCTGTCCCCAACTCAACTGTATAATAGCAATATTGAAAAAAAAGACGTCACTGATCTACACGCACCCAAAACTGAAAGATCAGTTGCTGAATCAAATTTGAAAGGAAATATATTGATAAATGAACCTGAACACCTGAATCTGCACCCAATATTACTTTTATGCAAAATTTACTACTACAACCACAAGCATCCGAAGCTGGTGCCTATGTCAATGTGCGCTGGTTCTCATGTTTTCCACTAACAACTCTAAGCATGAACACCTTACATATTCCCGCAGGTAAAATCAGAAAATTAGTCATATAAGATAAATTATTATATTATATGATCATGGAACTCTGTTATATTTACTCGATAAATCGACAACTAAATTATAAAATATGATATTCGTCTGTCGCAGCTTGAGATCCCATATGTAGTGATCCGTGAAGGCAGTTATTTCGGAAGTTCGTCGAGACTAAAAAAAATTAGTCTCAATTAATTTTTTCGGGCTCATTTGAAGGAAATTCCTCATCTTGATTAGACATTGAATTTTTTTTCATTTCAAATAGTTGGCCATGCTTGTGCCCGCAACTAGAGAGACTTTATGTGGTTTTAGTCCTGGACAATTAATAGATTAAAAAGTTACGCGTCTCGGTAAAATAAAAGTTACAATTCAGGGTAATCAGTTTCTTTACTATCTAGCCCAAATGGCATGAATACGCATAATTGTACTCACTTCAACTCTAATTTTCTCATGAGTCCACCGAGCCTTATATTAAACTTTTCCTCTGCTTCATTTGTTGACAATCCGGCTTTTTCACTGTAATTAAAAAGTGCGATTTAATAAAAGGAGAAATAATAATAAACGTGTTTTCACGCATATTTATCATTGTTCAAAGTATATCTAATAATTTCTTATAACATAGATTGGTTTCTCACTGCTTTAAAAATTAAACTTTTTATTTGGGAGCTCCCGAAGTATGTGCACAAAGATGGCGCACAACCTGAAATCAAACCTGGTACACACACTATGTTTAGGTTACTTTGGGAGCGCCTTTTTTTCTTGCTCACCACGTGATAAAATGCTTCTCGTAAATATTGCCGATCTCTCTGACTATAGCTTCTTTGTGGCGATTATTTTCCTTCTTTTTCTCGTGCTCCAAATCGTTTATTTTCCTTTTTGATTCCAATTTATCCATCTCGTTCTTGTGCTTTCTCTGTTCATCTTCAATGACATTTATCCGTTTACGATCTTCTTCAGCACGCTTAAGTAATTCATCTTCAAACACTTTTTTCCGTTCACGGTCTTCATCGTGACGTTTGCGATCTTCTTCATAACGCTTACGTAATTCATCTTCAATGGCCTTTTTCTGATTACGTTCTTCATCCCTTTCTTTCCGCTTCCTTTCTGTGAATAGTTACAATCAGTTAGACCTGACTTTTGAGAAAATGTACGGTACTCCAGAAGTATACACACCAAGATGGCGTACAACCTGGACACAGTATGTGTACCAGGTTAGGGTTAAGGGTGTGCGCCATCTTGATCCACATACTTCGGGAGCGGTAAATTTACTGAACAATCTTAATCATAATTTTGCGTGAGAGGATTGCTGAATTAAACAGGCGGGTTACTTCAGAGTTTTCATAACTGGGGCCGTGGACCCCCGGGGATCCGTGATGACTGCACAGAGGGCCCGCAACGATATGAAAAATATGAGTCTGAATTCTGAAACATAAACAATTTAACGTATATCTATCTACTGTCACATAGACATTCGTAAATGATATAAAACCAGGCAATAAATTCAGGCAATTCTTAATTGTTACGAAATCTTAACAATGGGAGGGAAAAAGGTGTTGTAGATTAGAACGATCCTCGCATTTAGCGTATGTAAGGTAGAACTCCGCCACATCGATTGTTACGGCGTCGATTGGACGTTAACTATTAAAATATTTCATTTCTGAATTTCATTCAGTCGCATTATATCGACAGACGTATATTAATGAATGTTTCCCGACCTTTGACCCCAGAAGAATTCTCTCTATACTTTACTATTGCAAAATTTTGGATGCTTATTTTACGAGTGTTTTGGACAGTTGGCACTTACAAACTGAGTTACATGATCAAAACCATCATTCTTATCGAAATATACAACCAGGCGACGCTAACAGTAACTGATAGCTATGTTTAGCATAGTCTATCACAGCTTTTCCGGGACTAATTTTTGAAAACTGCAACTAAACTAAAACTCATCGGATCACATAATGGCAATTAAATTACCTTTTAAAATAACTGAAATCTGACAAATAACACGCAAAACCACGAAAACGAAAAAAATGTTTCTAACCATGCTTAAATATCTGTCTGAGCGGCTGCAAGAATTGCCACTGTTACGTCATCGTTCACCTTTTTGCTGATTGGTCAATATTACAGGAATAAATAGAGAAAATGATGTCCGGGGAAAACATCCATACTAAGTGAAATTGTTAAAAAATGATCTAGTGATTGCAACATTATCTCAATTAGAAACTCACTCACCTTTTGACGCTTCACTACCCATTTTCAAGTTACGGGTTCAGCTATAAGATGTGACTTATCGGCACTACAAAAGCATTAGTGTGATAATTGACTTTCCTTGTTGTGGAGATCTTTTTATATTTATTTAATTTACTCTCTTGTTCTCTGTAATATTGAAGAATAATGAGTATAGTAAGGCGCCTCGTGTTGTGTACTATTGTGAATTATTACACGAGTATTCTATCTCTGCACTTGTACAATCTACCTGTCTTTTGAAGCGTCTATCTCAGATTTCTCAATTTTAATGGCTCCTGCCCCCCATCCAGAGGCTTTTGGCGCTCATGGACCCAGGTTTATCATTCCAGTGGTATTTATAGTTTTATTTTGATTGGTAGATCTGAATCTCATTATTTCCAAACGATTTATGCCAAACAAAATTGAAACGCCATGTGAAATAACCTTATCAAGCAATGAAACTAGGACAAACGAAGAGTTTTATTGTAAAGTGGAGAGTGAAATCAGTTTTTTTGACTAGCATTGTGCCCCCTTCCAACTGCTGTATGATCCCCGGTCGAGAACCCCCGATCTAGCTGTTCATTCATCATAGGCTGATAAATAGATAACAAGGCAAAGTTCAATACAAATTAAACCAGACTGAGAGACAGAGCCCAAATGTTTCCATACACGAAATCGTTAATTTTTGGGTCCACTAGTGCATATTCAAAAGCTATGACTCTACTTTCTGTACAGCACATTGTTATCAAATCTATTTTCATTTCACTTTCTATTTGATTTTCTCAAGTTAGATCATTCCTCATTTTTACAAGTATTTATGGATCTTTTGTACCAAGTCTCCCACCATCTCTCAAAATAAGAAAATCCGTAATTATACTGTTAGGGTTAGTAGATGTAGTCGACGCTGGAAATTTTGAAATCATTCAACGCCTTAACCCTAACAGGATAATTACTATTTTTTATTCTAAAACATGGTGGGGGTGTCTTTCTGAAATTCGGCATTTTTGCATTAGTCCCTTTGTACAAATGGTCCTAATTTATTATATCATTTTCCATCCAAGCGATAAAAGGAAACTAGTGCGGAAGCACACACCACCGAATCTTGTTTTATAGTGAACATAGCTTCATTCAATTTAATCCAGGGGTGTGCAATGCCCGCCAAGCCATTTAGTGTGGCCCTTTGTCAACACTCAGATTTTTCCCCACTAATCATAAACTCCTAATCGATGGTTAATGTTTGAAAAGGCGCTCACATGGATAAAAATACAGAATGATTTTTGCTCTGGTCGCTGCATTACATCTTCCGCCGTTTTTCCCGGTGCATTTATCACTGTAGGGTTTATATATATAGATATAAGCAATAGCCGCATTCTCTTTCCTTGCTTTTCCCGCTAACTTTTTTTTGTGTGGCTCCTTTAGGTGTCTAAAGTTTGTTGTTAAATGGTCCACCGATAAAAAAAAAGTTACACACCCCTGAATTCGAATCCCTCTAACATGCCTGGATTCAGACTGCTTCTAATATAACTACAATATGAATACCATAGCATGTTCACATATATACATCCCGCTTCACATAACCGAAGCATTTTGACTTGAGACGAAAATTTTAAAACATAAAATTTCCTCACACATCGATGTTTATGATAATTTCACTGATAATTTATTTCTACGTTTTATTAACTCGAGTACGTTACTGAAGATCTTCGTTCACACGAATATATATTAGTAGTTTGGTTTATCCAAATCCCCTGAGATTGTCTGTGCGTTGTGAACTCATTTAACTCGTAGGCTCGTATTGGATTCGTTTCATCGAAGTTACTCAGAAACCAACAGCTGTTATACGAACAACAACAAGATCAGTCACGCGTTTTACAGCATTCAAGTGTGATCACGCCATGTAATTACTAGCCGGGGTGGGCAACATTTTTTAGTATAAGAGCCGCATGCAGCAAGTCAGAAATATGTGAGAGCCGCATAATTTTGAAAATTAATAATATTAGAATGCCGTGGACTGAAAAGAACTTTACACAAACGTATAATACCAATATTTTTTAAAGTATATATTATTCAACCGCTTAATGATTTAAAAAAAAAATGTTACGTTATAGTTTCTTTTAGTTAAATTTGGATAATATATAATTAGTGCCAGCGAGAAGAGCCGCATAGAAGCTCCGGTGAGCTGTAGTTTGCCCACCCAATGAGCATATATACAATGAGTGGGAACTTGCAAAGATTTGCTCATTATGGCATTGTTACCTGCATTTTTTACGTCGTCCAGCTAAATGGTTCGTTGCATATTAAGAAAACGCGTTGCTCGCTGCCAAAATCCCTTGCTTCAGCCGAGTCGGGTGCGAAATTGGCCGTATTGAGGTCTTTAGTTCTTCAATACATATTTGGTTTTGGGTTTCGAAGTATGGTACGCTGAAAGCATACAACTATGAGCATATGCTTATTGGGAATGCATATCTATTAGACAGAAAACGTATCTACAGAACAGAATATGAACCAGTCGCCGAGAGGAGTGCGGTCATTTATGTATTTATTAATTGATATAACATGGGATTTACATATTTATCCAAGGGAAGAAGAAAGCCAAAAAAGAAGGCCTGAAGATATGGCGAACCACGGCCTCTCTCAATCATAGCTCTGTGCTCCATATGAATCACATGGCTCTGCGAGCTAATCGTTTACTTACTAAAAATACTGATTTTAACTAGGCTATAAATTACTCTGGGATATCTTGCCATTGAAAACAAAAGCCAGAATTTGGAAGAATAGCAGGGAATGAAATGTGTGTATTATGTAATGGAGAACCTGAGTTTGTTTCACATATTTTCATGTATTGTAAATTTACAAAAAATATTTATGAAGATTTTGTTTTAGATATATCAAAATGGATTAGAATACATTTTGTTATCAATATGATTCTTGCATATTATTTAATTTTAACGATCCTTTATATAGTCATATAGATACTGTTGATTTGGATGCAATTATACTTTTGTAATCAATAGTGAGATATAAAATTTTGACCACTAGAAATTCTATTATATTCGAAAATAAAACACCACATTTTGCCTTTCTCAAAAAGCAGATAAAAATGGCCATAATATGTAGAAAAATATAGAGAATTATAGAATAAACAACCCATTTGAGAGGGAATTGAAAATTTATGTGACGCATTATTTTAAAAAAAAAATTATATGCTTATGATATGTATTTTATATTTACTTATTTTATTTTTATTGTTTTATATCAATGCATTTATTAAAATAACCTAATTATGGTATGGATTACTACTGGAATTGAACAAAATAAATACTGGATCATGGATGCAAAATGGAATATGAACTTATTTATATTATATATATTATTTTATATTTACCGTAATTAAAATCACTCATTGAGTGAACGAATGAGCATACTGTAATGCTTATTGGGAATAAATACCATCTATTAGGCAGAAAACTTATCTACAGAACAGAATATGAACCAGCCAAGTGGGGACCTGGGATATTGTATTCATTGATATAGATAGATTATTTTGAAAAGTCCACAACCTGACAATACAAACAAAAAAAAAAAGGAGAGTTCTGGAGAGCGAGCAAAACCTTTAAAAAAGTTTAAAACACGATGAGTATCATGTGCCCGCTGTGTTATAGCAAGTAGTAATGTGTAATGAATTTAATTCACTGTGGTAAATGAATTGCTATCTTTTTTTTTGTTATGAGCACACTTGCTGGAACTCCGTAATCTATTATTTTATTTTTTAGTAACACTTTTTATAAAAATATCAAATTGTTTATCATACTTGCATCCATATTTCGCCCTAAATTCCATTCTATGACACTTTCTCTGTATCCAAATATCTATGTACATGACCACATTATTTATTTTTTAGTAATACTTCATTTAATAAAATTATCATAATGTTTATTATACTTGCTATTCTAGTATTTTATCAGTTTTGTGCCTTAAATCTCATTCTATGATACTTGCTCTGTATCCAAATATCTATATGTATATGAGCACTTTATTTATTTTTCAGTACCAAAGTTGTCAATTATCTATAAGTTATCAAAGCATTAAAACAACACATGGCTAGACACGGCTTACCAGAAAAACTGATTTGTGACAACGCTCCTCAATATAGTAGCGAAGAATTTAGAAAATTTGCTGAAGATTATGAATTTCAGCATGTTACAAGCTCTCCTACATATAGCCAAAGCAATGGCAAAGCAGTATCCGCCGTTAAACAAATGAAGAGCATAATGATAAAAGCTATTGAGTGATGTATTTCTTGCATTGCTCGATTGGCGTAACACTCCGAGTGAAGGAATCCCAGGATCACCAGCACAAAGGTTATTTGGAAGACGCACAAGAACTCTGCTTCCAACATCAAAATCTCTTCTCCTACCGAAAATTGTTACAAATATCGAACCACATTTAAAGAAGCGTAAAGACATCCAAGCTAAATATTACAACAGGGGAACGAGGGAGCTGATAAAATTGTACCCGGGTCAGTTGGTCAGAATGAAGCCGGACCGTGGGAAAAGATGGCGCAAAGGTAGAATTGAACGACAAGTTGACATCAGATCGTATATGATCCGAACTGAAGATGGTGGTCTTTATCGAAGAAATCGAAGGCATTTGAGGCATACAAGAGAACCTGATGAGTTCCAACCCTTTACAAAGAATTATGATTACGATTGTAGTATTTCTGAGCCATACACATCTTCCTATAACAATGATGGTATAAAAACACATGACCCAACTATTAATGATAATATTCCCGATAGCAGTGTTTTAGTTAATCCTAGTATATCTGATCAAACAGAAAGTAGATCAAGCCCCCCTCTTCGCATATCTACACGCACTGTTAAAATACCTGATAGATATGGGTATTGATTAATGATGTTTTATTTTATTGTACATTTATTAATGCTATTTGTATTAATATGCTATTTCTTGTTTGACGGGAAGATGTGACGTAATGTGATTACTCAAATGATGAGTAGCGCGACAACTCTTAATTGTTGCGGTGCAATGCATCTCATCTATTCGTCTGGCTCACCAGTCGATATATAGTTGTGTTAACTTGTAGACGTTGTTTATGACCGCTGTTTAAGTTGTATTGTTTTAGTTG